TGCATTAAGCAGACCACTATTGCAGTGTCACAGAATTACAATGACAAATTACAATCTAAAAAGAACCATTGCTTTTTTTTATATCTCACGCCGAAGTAATTTGTAAAAATACATTAATTTTTTCTTAAACATAAATCAGTGGCAATCCATCATCTTACCGCACAGTAAATGCACTCATTTGCGAAGTAGATGACACTCCTAAAAGCTAGCAGAAGAGGCAACATCACAAATAGGTTGGAAAGCCAGCCCATCAAGGAAGTCCTCAAAATATATTTTTCTCGTATTCAGCATAATATCGCAAAACGAAAAGTCATTTCAGAAAATCACAGACCTGCAGGACCCTCCGTATAAGAGATTTTGCCCATGGAAGCAGACATCACAAAACTCCTTCTGAGATCATGTCAAGTGACTTCTGGTCCACACACAGGGCAGCAGAGAGCAATGTCTATCATTTGGCAGTCAAACTTATATTTTTAATTCTTAGACATGGAACTTTAAACATACTATGTACAGAATCAAATAAATTCAATGCTATGGCTGTTTGGAATAGACGTTGACGACCGGGTTGAGACCACCAACTCATTAAACTTGCGAAACTCAGTTTAACTGACAGGCGAAGATTGCCTGGACAAACCCAGGAGCTCGGTAATGCCAGGTCAATGCTCTGACCTCTGAGCCACCGGGCCACCCCAAAGGAGTCTCCATACTGTTAGGAGATTCAACTTTTCAAAGTAATGTTTGCATGTGGAAATATGAAGGCGCCCAGCCAAATCGAACGCGTCGAGCGCATGGATCACAAAGCACTCATCATGCTGGCGACTGAAGTCAGGGGGCTCATTTAGCCCAATCATCACACTTCTGCTGAATGGAAGGAAACGAATAACAATCAAGCTGGTACTCGGCACAATGTTGCGCAGATTTGTTTTCCAGTACTGTAATGCAGTCTCTTTGACTATGTTGAATTGCAGCGTGTGATCACACCGGTCTCTCATCTCCGCCTGTGCTCGATTTGTTGAGAGCGGCCCTCAGACATCTCCGACGATCTTTGGGGGCTGGGAGTATTTTGTTGCCTCGATTGCCACACAAACGATGTGGCAATAGAGGCAGCTGTACCGCAGGTTTTGTTTATTGTGGAAACATGACTTCAGGAGGTTGAGTGCACTGGATTCGATGTACGAAGCCACCGAAGAACGGACATATTTCCAGGGAATGGCAACGAGTAGCCTGCAAAGACCAGTCAGTGGTGCTTTGACTACAAAATTCAAAATAAAACAGACGATTACTTGCGTGTGTGTCTAACAAAACGATGTCAGTGTATATAGCCGCAAAAGTTACGTAGGTTACGTAAGTTACGTTCTCCTCTATATATTGGACAGAAGATGTAGGGAAAAGTTGTTTTGAAACGCTACATTAAGGTATGATAAAGATACGTGCGGAGATATTGAACTGCACATCGAGACAGTGGGCGAAGACCCCAGGGCCGGACAAGGACACGCTGGCGGGACTGTCGCTCAGCTGGCCTGGGAACGCCTGGGAATTCCCCAGGAAGAGCTAAAGTCTGTGTATAGTAGTGTAGTGTATAGGAGTGCATAGTGTAGTAGGATAGTGTAGTAGTGTATAGTAGTGTAGAGTGTAGTGTAGAGTGTAGTGTATAGTGTAGTGTATAGTGTAGTGTATAGTGTAGAAGTGCTGGAGTCTGTCACCAGGGAAAGGGAGGTCTCGACCACCCTACTCAACACGCTGCCGCCGCGACCCTCACCAGGACAAGCGGACGGAGAAACAAAAAACATCTAGAGACAGTGCATATGCGGTTGTGATTATTTTTGAATAATAATAGATATGCTAATGATGAAGCCCACAGGACTTCCCTGATTACCAGCAGCCCCAGTGAACAATCGTCTTGTGGGAGTTGAACGACCCATTGCTTGCAGTTCATTGAACTTTCTTGAGCTTTCCTCCCCCAATAACAATTAAACATTAATATTTATAATCATGGGGTGGGCAGGGGTTGTCTGGCTACATTATGACAGCATACCAGGTAGATTCAACACCTACTACCGGCTGACTTGGTCTACCAACACAAAAAAATGGATGATTCAACACCTCACACCTCTTCTACTAATCACAATCGCCATCGACCATTCACTATTCGATGATGTTGGAAAAAAAAATCGCATAGGAATGGGCCAAATACTGCAATGCAGGATTCTCCCTGAATAACAGTGTCTTGGGATTGAGCAAGGTTTTTTTTTCCTGAACGAATACACGACAATTGAAATTAAAGCTATGATTGTTTTGAAAAAAAATATTCGCAAGGAATTAGCCAAACATCCCAATACAGGCACCTCCCGAAACAGTGTTTGCGACTCCGTGAGACTTTCCTAGATAAATCGATAACAATTGACCGGTACAACTTTTTGGATCAAATATAAATCCATTTTACAGTGCATACATGGCTCTATAGCCAAGCATATCTCTCCAACAAAACGCAAAGATCACCCGTACAGCCTTGCCAGACTGTTGGGACAAGTGATGTTAGCGAGCACTTATGAAGGCCAGCACGGCATACAAGGGGGTTGGTGGCCAGCACCACTCCCAGCCGATGTCGTCTCCCAAGTGTTGATGATTACACACCACACCAGATGCACGTTTGTGGCTGAGCTGACCTAGGGGAAGACCGGCGTCAGTTCAGATAATCGTCACTGGCGTTGGCCTTGAGGGGGAATCGAACTCGGGCCACCGGGTTCACATCGCAGCGTGCAAACCACTACACTACCGCGCTCTCTATAGAGCTCCAACAGGCAGCTAAGGCATGTGCAGTTTCACCAGGTGAATGTTTAAAAGGTTGCCCATGCTCCCTCTCCTCGCACAAGTGTGCGAGTTGCCTCGCGACGGTGCATCGTACGCGGTTGCGTGCGAGCGCTGGCTGAGAGCTCTCTCTAAAACAGGCCTCTGCCATAACGGATTAGGGAAGGGCGTCCCACTCAATATTTAAACGCGTCATTCCACGGCACAATCAGCGGGTTTGGTGGCCTTCCCTAATCTCTTCGCCACTTAGGGCTCCGGGGTTCGTGCATGACTCCAACATAGGCTCACTGTGACCACAACAATTTTAAAAATAACATTTGCTCCTTATTATTTATTTACTCTGCTTGTTACCCAGGAAAATTTCGGGGGTTTTTTTTCCGTGAATTTTACCCCAGCTGTGACATGAGCTGCGATAGTATTTTAATGAGATTAAGAATCCATTTGAATCTCTGGCAAGCGGTGCAACCCTTCGTGTTTACAGACCGGCCCACAGAAGTGCATCTCATCATAGTGGGCAGCACTTTCATCAGTCAAAAAAATCAATTTGTATCATCTTCAGTGCTGGTTTAATGATGCAGCCAAATTAAAACATGGAACCAACTTCAACTTGCTGATGAGGGCTTTTTTTTGTTGCAACCATTGGTGACCAGGATGAGAGCAGTAACTCACTACACTTGAGAATCCGATTTAATGACAGGCGGTTGAAACCTGGATGTCAATGCCGGATCTCAGCGGTGCCAGCTCAGCGCCGTGACCTCTGTGACCACAGCTCTTAAAATGAGCACAAAGGAACGGAGTAAACCGGCGTTGGTATTCACCCAAGTTATGAATTAATGATATAAATCATGGACCCCCCCCAAGCGCCTTTTGTTCGGCCGTGCGCGTGCATTGCATACGATGCATTGGAAACTTGTTCACTAATCACTTCGGGATAATGCGCAGGCACAGGCATGCGGTGGAACAACTTTGTGGTTTTAACACGAGATGTTTTATTCTCCTCGGTGACCCGTGTGGTGGGACTACATCAACACGGCAGACTACATCAGCTCGAGGCAAATGAGCTTTCACAAGAAAACACCTTTGAAGTGTGTCAGAGAATGACGGAAAGCACATGCTCTTTTGTGGTAAGAGGCAACCATCTCTCATAAGGACATGGAATGATGGACGACAAACGGTGATGTGCATTTTCGTGATTCATAATTGCTTATTGGCAATGTTTATTTATAAATTCAAATTAGCGATAACTGATAATTAAGTCTGATTGAATAAAAAGCAATGATGGTGTACCATCATCAGCATCATCAGCGACAATCGATCTGCTGATCGTCACTGCCTCCCATAGCTAAGCCATCGCCATCTCTCGCCGTCCTGCCAAGTAACATTCCACCGAGCACAAGCACGTGAGCCGCTCTCACCACTCCATTTCCTCGGTGGATGGCCTTTTGGAGGATGTTTGACAAATCCTTCATGTTTGGCCAATAGGGATGTATGGTCAGTTGCTTTTTAAAAAGGTATAATTTGTGCGCGGAAGGCCTTTGGAGCTCCCGACAACCAACCCACACATGAGGAGGTAACACCCGTAAAGTTCCGATTTAGTTGAGTTTACAAAACTTCCAAACCAACATTGTCCAGCAACAGTTGTTTCATCAAAACAAACCATGGACCGGTTTCTGCTTCCACGAGTGTCATCAGGATGGCATAGCCAATTAAACAAATGCTAACGATCTGTCTAGTGTCACAGACCAAGGTTGGATACATTTTCCGACACCATGAGGCTTTACGCCAATATCTTCGCAGGGCCGGGTCACATGACGTGCTCACGTGAGATAGTCATACGGACGAGTTCGCTTCTGCTAGTTGGCCACCAAACGTTTGAATTTAGAAATCTGCGGAAGCACTCACGTCTGGCTCTGCTTCCAAGGGTGAGTGCCCCCCCCCTCCCGCACCACCCCCCCCCCCCCCCCCCACCGCTCACGCTTTCGCAAATTGTTGCCCATCGCAAAGAATAAAGTTAAAACGAAAAAGTTACAATTTACCCGCAGCCCCTATTGAGCAATGCCTGAACTGCCTCGGAGCCGCATTTGATTTGCAAGCTGCGCTTTTGGCCACCCCTGTTGCAGACAACAGCTGTGCACAAGCAGCGTGGGACCACCGCGGAGGTGGCGGTGGTGTTATTGGAGCTGGCCTGGCACCTGTTTCAGCTGGTCCACGCCACTGGCAAGCTGCAGCACCCGGTCCAGTTCGTTCTCGATCCTCCGTGCCCAGTACCTGATGCTGCAACACGCAACACAAGGACAACGATGGCCGAGGTAAGTATAACGGAACACCAGTGACCGTAGACACCGGTGAGTGTCCTGAGATTGGCAAGGCAAGTGACAAAGCGCAGTGGTCGGCAGAAATTCCGAGCCGCCTTTGTCTCCTCACATCACTCAGTAGGAGCAAACATTGTCAATCGTCTCCCTCCCTCCCTCAAACCCACTCCTCCAACCATTCAGGCGAGATGCCTACCAATTTCCAATGATGGTTTTATAAAAACCTGAATTTTCTAATCAGCAGGCTTTTCATTCAAATGTTTTTTTTCCTCACTCATAATTTAATGTGTAGTTGTTTCAATTATGAATAGCAGTATTAACATCCACACAATTATTAAGTCATCCTTGTTAAAACATGCGGCCTATTCCCAGATCACCAAGAATGTGACCAATCTCAGGTCTCACAAGCTAAGCAGGTTTTTTGAGCCTGAATAAATGCTTGGATTGGCAACCACCGTGCGTAAAGAAGTTTACCTGTAAAATACTGCATGGTTGTCTGGTGGGCAGGAGAGGGCAGAGTGCAGTGAATTGTATTGTTGTACAATACTAAGCTCCAATGTCTATGCATCCATTCTCACTAATTCACACTCAGCAGCGTGTTCAAACAAGCCCCATGACCCACACGGTGTGAAGGCGGGGGGGGGGGGGGGGGGTGGCCCTCGTCCAGCAGTCGACGGACAAAAAATGAGGGCTGAACTTGCACGCCCATTGGCAACATTCACGCAAAGCTCGCAAGAAAACCAAAAAGCATGTGCCGCTTACCTTGAAGAGCCCACGGGTTAAATGCACCGTGCTCTGTGTACCGTGCCCTACTAACAAAATACCAGTGTGTCTAACAGCCTGCCTGTGGTTCTCAACACCACACTGGGGGGACTGCTCGTATGGAAAACGCAACAAACCCCACAAAACCCCCAAGCACCCGTTAGACCGAGATGCCGTTGCATAACCGTGCGGATTAAACTAACGAGCCACCACGGCGTGTACGTGGCAAGCTTGAGAGACATGGGGGGGGGAGCGGGGCAGAGTATATTTTCAGGCACCGGCAAGCCATCTGGACAGCCAATTCAGGTAAGTGAGCTGCCGGCAAACAAGTGCCAAAAAGCCCAGCGAACGCGGGAACACAAACTTGACCCCCACCGCCCCTCTCCTCGGAAGAGCAGGCTGTGAATCCGTGACGCTGCCTTTAAACCACTGGCCGGGCGCGGCGTCGAGGCGTCTTCGCTTCGCAAGGGTTACCTTTGCAGAGTCACACAAGGGGAAGCAATGCCCCACTAGCGTGGCCGGACAGCGGAGGTGAATTCAGGACGCCTCCTGTCCCCGAGCTCACACAACTCGTTACACACGCACGGCTGTGTTTTGTCCATCCGCTGCTCTAGAAGGGCCTTCCCCCATGCCGCTGTGCGGGACCCAGGGGTGTTACTTCACCGTGCACCCACGACGCCGGGCAGTGCACGGCCTGGTGAAGGCGTTGATCGTGCACGTGACAGCACACAGATTGCTGCACTACGATCTACTGCCCGCAGTGTATCCCCACAGCCTATAACAACCTGTCACACTAAACTAAACCATTTATTATTATAATACCAGGTCAGGTCCACTGAGCTATATAGCTCTTCTTTCAGAAGGGACCTGGCCAAATAAAATAGCTCAACGAGAGTAGCTAATCACGTGGCAATTCATAGCAGCCAAATACCCTAAACGTGTGCTTAGAAAAATGTGGACAAGGAAAACCGGAGGACCAAAAGAAATCCACGGGGAGAGAGAGACACGCAAACTCCAAATATGCAGCAGGCATCTGGGTCGGGATCGAACCCACGACCTCCTGTACACCAGGCGAGCATGCATGGTGGTTGACTCATCTAAGCACTATGCAGGCTCAACTCAATGCTCAGTTCCTGAGATCAGACAGGGATCGGTTACATTCCGGGTGAATTGGTCAAAGGCTATCCATTTGACGACGTATAATAAATACAGTCAAGAAGCATGTGGCTTTATTACCAACATCATCGTTTGGAGTTTGAAAGGCATGGTTTATCCACTGCTGGATCAAGGCCAACTCATGCCTGCTGTAAGGCATTGTACTCCTGAACATAAACCGATCTCAACACCCGGTCATCCTCCCAGGCACACGCTCTCCTCTGGCTGCCATTCGGTCACCAACCTTGTCCATCAGTGGTAAATATCTTCAGATTGTGTCATCTGCCCCAGCCCACTTAACTGTGATGAACAAGTGTAATTTTCAAAACAATGAACGGACGCAAATGTACTTGAAACAAATAAGTACAAATGCTTGTAACAGACACGCTCCGTAAATTTCTGAATTGATAACATTGTTTGTAATTTTAATGGAGTGTTGCAGAGACAAGCAATTGATTTTTGAAAAGGCAAAACGCGTTATAAATGAGGTCTGGGTCCTCAACAGCCTTGCCTGTAAGCTGATGAATTGCTGCTGCTCCACCTTACAATGGTCTTGATGGGCAGCAGCTGGAGGCTCCTACGCTTTGTTCCACTCCAGATTTCGCGCGATGTTACATCATTTGTATCCGTAACATAAACGATGTAACAAACAAACAAAAAAACTTGGCGCGAAATTTGGCAGAGGAAAGAGACGTTCTTTCTCTCTGCACTGCCGCGCTAAGGCCTCTTTCCCAAGCGAGTCGCTTCCCCCCGGACTACGCCAAACGGCTCCGTGTGGAAGAGCGAGGAAGAACCGGCGACTGCGGGACGGGCAAAGAGGAACCCGTCGTCTTGGGCAGCGTGGCAGATGCAGCCGAGCAGATGGCGAGCGCTAACGATCAACGAGAGCGGCCGCGGCGGTCCCAGGGAGGTGGTGGGGGGCGGGGGGGGGGGTCTGCGCGCACCAAAGGTCACGAGCGTAGGCACTCACGGCGACGTAGAAAACGACAAACGGCGAGCGTAGTTCGCTGGGCGAACTACGCTCGCCAACTACGCGCGGGACTCGTAGTCCGCTTTAGCGACGCGCATCCCCCCCCCCCCCCCCCCCCCCCCAAAATCGGCGAGCCAGACGTACGCGTCGGCGTACTTCTCTCCGAAACCAATCCACCGGACACTCGTGACAGAGCGCACGACCAGCGAAGCTTTGTTTCAACCGGCGAGGTGGCTCGGCGGTAGGCTGAGCGGCTCGCAAATCGGAAACTTGCGAGTTCCAACTCCTTGTCGGAGACTGACTCGGCTCAGCATCCCCCTACGGTCGATAAAGTCAGTGCCGCTGTCGGGAAGCAAATGTGTGCCTCGGGGGCAGAGTGAGAGGATCAGAATCGGAAGGTTGCAGGCGCAAATGCTGGTTGGGGGCGTTGATTCGGCTCTACATCCTTCCCGTAGTCAATAAAATTAGTACCACAGTGATTGTCCCCATGCATTGACTCGGTTCTTCCAGAGGAATGTTGATGTCCCACCACTGGCTCAGGGGCTGTGAACAGGAGATGAGCACCGCTTCAATGTTCATTAGAGCAGAAAATCACCGACACTTTTGACGCTCGTAATAACGTTTTTTGGGTTAGGTCGCGGAAATGTAGAATGTGTCGTAAACCCACCTAAAGTTTGTCACGTGAACAAAACGTGACAAATAGTTACTACTCAAGCACACTGGTGTGTTGGACAACAAACCCGCAACACTTACAAATTGAGGACGACGATTCTCACCGGTGATTAATAATATAGGCCGCAAAAGCCTACGTGTTAAATCAAACCCGGACAATATTTAAGATGCTTTATTTTTACGCTTAAATTACATTTAAACATTATAGACAATTTCAAATGATTTGTCTTGCCCTTTTTTTGTTGTTGCAACGTTGATGCCAATTGTGGCGTGCGCGATTGTCGTCCGGTCCCGAGGTGAAGAACCCAAACGGAATCTGGCAGAACAGTCCACCACCCCACGTGACGGAGAAAACGGCCCGTGTAAGTGCATTTCATGGACCTTTTATTTGTACTTTACCAGGTAAGGCCCACTGAGTTATATAGCTCTTTTTCAGAAGCGACCTGGCCTCAAGTGATAGCTCAATGATGTGTCCAACCATGTGGAAATTTTATAGCGGCCAAATACTCTGAACGCACGTTTCTAAATGTGAGGAGAAAAACCGGAGGTCCCAGAGAAAAATCCACGCAATTACGGGAGAACATTCACACTCTAAATATACTTCTTCTGAGATCCCGTCGGGTGACCTTTTTCCTTTTATGAACACACAATTCCTCTCGGCTCTACAGCGAGATATTTGTGTGGCAAATGAAGTCGAAATATACGTTTATATGATCATTGGAATTTAAGCCAACGTAAGTGAAAATCTAATTTAATTTCGTGGAGGTTTTCTTTTGCGTGGCCCCATAAACTCACCACAACAGAGCACCCGTTTTAATTGTGGCTGATTGATAGCCAGGCTTAAAACCAGAATCTCAACCGTGCCAGTTCAGCATTCTGAGTTATTAGCTACCCAGCCATCTCTTTCCTAAATGTTTCCTGTATTTTTTGTTGTTTTCCATAAATTTGAAGAAATTTTTCTTACGTAATTGTCTTAATACTACAAGTTTTTTTTCAGTTTAAGGAAGAAACAAATGCACCAGAAGAATAAATCGCGGTCAGGATTCAGGGGCAGCAACTCTAATATCTCAGTTAAGGCTAAACGCAAGAGTACAAGCGAAAAATGGCTGGCTTCATGTCAGAAAAACACTCCCCAAGAGAACCGTTTACATACAATTTGGCCCCAATGGCTTGTGAGTGTATATTAATGGCAGTGTGTGCAAGAAAAAAACACATTAAAGCTGTGTTTGGGGTGGCACAGGTGGCTAATATTCATGGCGGAGGACTGAGCCAGCAACAGAGAAACTCTGGGTTCAAACGTGGGTAATCACACATTATTACACTGGGTTCTAAGGTGTAGCGTGACAGACTGTCACTATTACGACTTTTTGCATGCCCCCAAAAACATGTATTTAGACGGAGAT